AAGGGGGGTAGATCTAGACTAGATATAAGGAAGAAATTTTGTACGTTGAGGGTGGTGAAACTCTGGCACAGGTTGCCCAGAGAGGTGGTGGATGCCCCATCCCTGGAAACCTTCAAGGTCAGGTTGGACGGGGCTCTGAGCAACCTGATCTAGTTGAAGATGTCCCTGCCCACGGCAGGGGGGGTGGACTAGATGACCTTTAGAGGTCCCTTCCAACCCAAACTATTCTATGATTCTCTATGCTGTTTCATACAGTACTGCTGCAGGGACTTACATGCATATGGTAACAGGCTGGAGCCAACAAAGCTCAATTTCAGTAGTATTTAACATACCAGTACTTTACCATACAATGACAACAGAATGTTTGCTTTGGGTTGTTGGCTGTATGATGTTTTGAGTGTCCCAGGATCTGTCTTGGGCTTAGACTGGAAATTGAGAGGCGTTGGCCCTTGAGTATCACGTAATAGTTCATGCCACTTGGGGTGTCATAAATAGCATGAATTCAGGGGGCTGAACTTTCATTCTCTACAAAGAAGAATCCTACTGAAGAGAATCGTGAACTGGAACATGCAAAGTCTTTTCTTAATTTGTGGAGTTTTTTATCTAAGAGATTATTTATGGGTTTTGATTGAATTTTTAGAACTCAGAGTTATGATTTTCTTGGTCTCACCAATCAGGGCACAATAACCATTTTCTAGTTTTAGATATTCTTTGTCAATGCATCCAAGCCAAAATGTATATCATGAATACTTTCCTAAATTTTTTTTCCAAAAATTCCTCAAACCTTGGACTTCTCTTGAACACTTGAATTCGATTCTAAAGAGATTGCTTCTGTTTTTTACTGCTTCTGAAAGCTTTTTATTGTTGCTCAACAGATGCCACAGTTGGAGAAGAAGCTGGAAGAAGAACTTGAATGTAATGCCAGAATCATTGCCTGTCGTTTTCCTTTCCCTTGCTGGATCCCAGATCATACTACTGGAGAGGGAACAGACACTGTGTGGGCCTATGATTTGAAACATTCTAGAGGATGTGAAACAAAAAGCTTGGAAATTACACCAGAGGCAGAATGCTAAACATCTAATTTGTTTTTGTACTGAAATTTTTGGCTTTGATTTCACCTGTTAAAGATAAGATTAATGTGAATAGAGCCCCAGGATATGGAGATACATATTTGTGAAAATAACTGAAGGACACTGGTTATCTGAAAGCACACAAAGGTTAGCGAAAGGTATAGTTAAATGGCTTAATGTAGTTAGTAAAAATTATGAGGAAGTTTTATAGAAGCGGAAAATTTTACTGTGGAAAATGGGATAAAACACGGTTCACTACTGTTAAGGGGAATATATGCGTAAGTTAAAATGCTCAAATTGGTGAACTTATGTGCATTCTTTCTGAGCCTACATAGCATTTGTTATTGGTGTTGGAAGTGGTGTGCAAGTGGCTTCTCAAATGAGCCATGGTTCCCAAATGTCTTCACAGTGTATGCCCAGTAGGCATAATGCTGCATACATCAAACTGATGCAGGTTGAGTATGACGATGATACCAATGTTTTACACCTCAGCCTTGAATGTGTACTTTTTAAAGTTGAATATGACACAACAAGCAAATATAACAAGTTGCTTATTCATTAACACAAGTGCAGCCCTTGATTGTATTAATGTATTTTTATTTAACTTGTTATGTGAAGACAAAACTGCAGAAATGTGCTCTTACTGAACACTTACTGGTATAAACCTTTGCAAATGACCATGATTTTTCCTAACCTCTCTGATTTAGGAAGGGTTTCAAAAGTCACCTACTTGGCAGTGAAGTGTCACCACTTCTGTGTGCTCAAACCTTGGATAAGGTACGGGTGAGAGCTGCTTACTTGAATGTGTCATGAAGACTGATTCCAGAGCTAGTTGGTCTGGCTAGCTTGGCTAAATCTGATTAGACCTCATTTAATTTATAGTGAGATGGGAAGGGAGGTTTTCAGTCAGGCTTCTTTTCCCCTCTACTTTTCTATGCCATGTGATGAGACTCAGAAACTCATGGCATTGCTGCATGGCTTTTCCTTGGAAGTGAAGCAAGTTCTCGCCGTCTTTTTGCTCATACTGGTTTGCAGTGGGGTACTGTCACTGCTGTGACGTTTTCCTTTTCTAACACGGTTACAACACTTTTCTAGTTTGTAACAGTCTGCTTACTTGGTCTTTCTTTTAGTTCCCAGATAAAGTTTTACTGTTTTCACTCATTAACAATTAGTCTAAGTTTACAGTTAGCCTCCCCTGGCCCCAGTTACATATAGACTGCTTGTTAAGCAGGGACTACGCAAGTTTGTCAGACCTTTGCATATATGATACCCATAGAATGAAGCTAAAACAGGCTAGGAAATTGTCACCTGACTTCTAGGCAGTTGTTACCACAACTAAAATCAGCTCAGGCCAAGAGAAGCGCTGAGACCTTGCAATTTTGGGTAAATACAAAGCCTGTGACATTTTATTAGGCCTTGGGAAAGCAAGTTGTTTGGACTGTAGTATCTGACTTGAAGAGAAGTTAGATGTTATTTGGGATGTGTAGTCTACAGTTACACCTGTACCCAGGCTTTTTATTTTTCGTGGGAGGGGAGGAGGAAGGAGAATTTAAAATACAAATCTACACTGAGGATTTGGAATGGAGCATGGAATGGTTTTGTCCTGATAACGTATACAAAGCAGGAGAAGAAAGGGGCAAATGTATCCACTCTGGAGTCTGCAAAGGAGAGATTTCAGCCTCACATGGCAAGGCACAGCTGTAAACGTGGTGACTGTGTGTATCGAAGAACACTGATTTCTGGTAAGCAGTCTTTTACAGCCTTTCACTGCGGTGTAACGTAGTGCATCTTGTAAAACTACACTAAACTCTACCATGATTTAAGTGTTATGATTATTACACAGTGACAGGACAGGGCTACAGTGGCTTATCTAAAATGGCTGAATTTACTTTAATATCCCAAGGCTGTAAAACTGGAACCTCAGACAAAGGAAATCTGCAATTATTTCTATTGGAAAAGACCGTACGAAGGGGAAATTAGCTAATGAAGCTGAGTCCTTCCCCGAATGATTATAAAGGAGAAGAGGAGGCAAAAGAATTTGATCAAGTGAATTGTGACTCATCTGCAGTGCAGTGCTTTAGTGAAAGTAGGCAATAGAAACTTGGGTCAAAGTTAGTTTGAAGGGCATGAAGCGGATATTTACTTTTTCTGCTGTGTTTGACTATATATTTGTCTACTGCATTATCATTTGCCTGTTAAAAGGTAAAAACTGAATTTCTCAGTTCTGCCTGTGGTAAAAGGCTTTGGGGCATGTACTTCTTAGTTAACCACCTATCGCTCCAGAAATACTTGTTGAGGAGGGCGAGATAGAATTAATGATGTGATGGCCTGAGCTTTAGGAGCAGTAAGTGCTGTCCTCAAGGCAAGGAGAGATTTATGAATGCTTTCAAAGTGAAGCAGAGGGCTGTTTCTTGTTCTGGCCATTTACTTTTGGGGGCCTCCACTGAGATAGACAGTGGTCTGAAGGTCGGAATTCCTTAGTACATAAGGAAATGTGCTGTATTTCCTGTTTCCATGGCTGAAGTGTGAAATGGAAAGCAAATTGCCCTAATTTACACAGGGGGACTGGGAAAGCATTTTCCTGTCATCCTCAAATTTTCTATTGCTTGCTTTGTTCATTTGATAGTTTACAAGATTAAATACTTAACTGTGACTTCAGTTATCACTGTATGGATTATTATGTTGATACGCTTCCAATTGCTAGGGTAATGTATTACGATTTTGTTGATGTGCTACTTCAGAGTACAAATTTGTTTCTTCTGAAAACCAGGAAAGCCTTGGAGAACTGGCTTAATCAAATTATAGTGTAGGTCTGAAGCCAAAAGAAGGAAACCTTCAAGCTACATCTATGCTGTTCAATACCAAAGTAATTCAGATGCACAGAAAAACCTATAGTTTATCTTTGTTTATGTCTTCTAGTAGAATCACATGCCTTTTGGGAGTTGTTGTTCTATTCCTTCCTTGGCCTGACAGATCTTAGCAAAAAAGTTGCTACATCGCTGAATGAGTAATGCTTTCCTGAAATATTGTAGAATTTGACCTGTTTGAAAATAATACAGGTCAGAGTTCTCCAGGAGTCAGACTTTCAAATATTTTTTTTTTTTGCATTGAGACACATTATGTCCTCACAGGCTTTGTGATGCAAGATCAGTTGTACCAATGCAGCACCTGAGTGCTACATTTCTAATTTTGTAGTTTTCTATTTTGCATAAATTGGCTTTCTAGGGAGAAGGAGAGGGCTACGACTACAAGAGAGCCATCTGATACGCGGGTTGCTCAGTATACTGACACAGCAGTGTCAACCAAGCTTGTCCAGATTTGTTTGTGAAATGTGCACATATTTTTGTGAGCTTTAGGCATTTCTGTATTACTGGGTGTATTGAAGTTCTTGACTTACCCTCTGGTCTGATTATATGCTGCCACTTAATGCAATATTGCTCCAAGGAAGTTAAACAGCAGCTCAGAGACAGAAGATTATTTCTGACTCGTGAGTTGTAGGTAGGTAAGAAGGTACAGAATCAAGTTTAAAATAAAGTACCACATTTCACAAGCCAGTTGAATGAGTATGGTCCTGGGGGGGGACGGACGGACGGACACACACGTTCCAGAGCCCAGGCTTTGGGAAAGTCTTTCGCCTTTAATGAAGGGGACAGAGATCGATATAGGCGATGGAGATCTCCTGAATTCTGCATGAACTTTTAAGAACGACTTGAGCTTTGCTTTTCTCATGCGTGCTTTAAAAATTTTTACCACCCTAATACCATCCTAAGATCTACAGGGGAAGTAAGCAGAGGTAGTATTCTGTTTACCGTTTATATTTTGAGCTACGGGAGGAAAGGAATCTTAGGGCCCAAGTATGGCAGTCTGAACTATTTCAAAAGCAGTTTGGCAGACTTGCACATCAACTGTGCATATTTCTCATTGGATAGGAGCATCCATACTAAGAATGGGCTCTGACAAGCATTCACTTAGAAATGGGTTCATGTCTGATACCATTACACTTGAATGAACAGTAATTATTGTTAGATCACCTCATACTTCTGTAGTTTCACTTTCATGATGGCTTACAAATACTGAAGCATTTATTCAAGAAAGGACATGAATCCTTCAAATTCATGGTTGAAGAGGGCAGCCTAACATCAGATTTAGTGCCAGTAAATTCTGTTTTGAGTGAGTTATTTTTCTTTTACATTTGCCGAGTTTGCAGTTCTCTAGTTTTACAATGTAGCCCCAGCTTGTTTTTCAGAAGTAACATGTTTCTTCTAGAAGACTTCTTGAGTTCTTGATAAGACAGTGTGGCATCTGTGTTTAATTTAAAAATCACCCTCGAGTGAGATAGCTGCAGAATTAATATTTTCAGTATTTTTCTTTGTATGATAATCTTTCTATTTGTCCTTGTATGCTTTACTGACCGAGACTTACACATGGATGATTACTAATTTTTTTCTTCATTTTTTTTCTGAATTCGCCCTCTTATTTCAGTGTTTGCTTTTATTTTTCATATTGTCTTTTTACAATTTGACTGTTTGACTTCATAAATTCATCAGATCTTCTCATTTTCTTTAATTATTTTTTTCTGTAAACTAGTTGTCCTCCCCCCCCCGCCCCCAGCAACTTTGCAGGAAGACTAAATATGTTAAGGAACATCCTTTTTCTCTCTAACATTTTAACGTGTTTAACTAACCTCCTTGATTTATTTAGCAGTCCGTATGCTGACATAGCATGACTTTTGTTTCCAGTAAATGAAAGAAAAACACATCCACCCATATGGTATTTAGACTGAAAAATGGCCTCGGTCTACAACAATTCTGACTATTTAATAGTTTTAAGTACTTAATTTCACATTTTTATTATATTTCATCACTTGGCAAATGAATACAGGTCTTTTATCCGTTCAGTAGTTCTTTGGATTTGGGTTATTTGTTCAGGTGGGACTTTTGCTGGTTTCTTTTTCTTAGTATGATGTTGGGGTTTCTATTAGAGGCTTTGGTTGAACTGTCGGACTGATGTTTTTCCTGCGAATTGCTGTGTAGTCCTTGAAGAATCACTGTAATACAATCCAGTGAACTGCTAGCATTGGTAAAAATTAAGTAAAACCTGCTTACCAGTAAATGTGCAGGGATATTTTTCAGCTTACTGTATATGTTGTGGTTTTTAAAAATAAAGTAGGTTTTTGAAGACCCATATAAAGCTTGTGGCATAAAGTTTTGCGGTGAGCAGAGGTCTTTGCAAGGTCAGGAGGAGTAAATTAATGGCTTTCAACCTGAGGTTTGTGGGTACCTTCTGAGGAATCCACAAAAAGTAATTTAAAAAGGAGATCTACTATCAGTAGGTTTATATTTGCTACCCATGGTTATGTCCTTCCGTTGGAAAATTTTAATGTGTCTGAAATGATCATTTGAGAATCCCTGAACTAAAAATATGGGCTTACGTAAGACATTACCTAAATGGAAATGAGTTTATCAAAGTGAGGAGCTTTTTTCTTCTTTCTGTTATTGCTTGCATGGACTGTTGAGCCTTGAACCTCTGCAGTATACAAATATATGTGACTCTGTGTCTATTCTGGTAAGCCTGTAACTTCATATTTTGCTATGTGAGAGCAGCCGCATGGTTTTGCACATTCCCCTTGCATTCTAATAATTCTAGCTTTTTAGTTAATCTATGATAGATCTGGTTTAAGGGTCTAATTGCTTTTTTTTTCCAGAAACTGTTTAAACATTTTCAAAACACCTGATCAGCTGCCACTGAAGCCTGTCTAAAAAGTCAATGGACCCTGTGAAACTCCTTAATGCTGTAATGTCTGCAGCTGTCCATGCCAGAACTCTGGTTCAGATGAGCAGAAATGTGCCTAGCTCTTGTATAAGCCCTCTTGATTCTTGATTTCTTGATTGAAAATGGAAGTGTGAGGAGAGGACACAAAAATGAATGATAAAAACTTGAGGGTCAATGTAAGTTCTGGGAGAGAAAAATATGAGTGGTGTGGGGTATAGCCAAAATCTAAGGGACCTTCTCTGTCACTATCACTCTAGCCCGTAAGGTTTGATGCTGTCTTTCCCCCCCCCCAAGATTATGTAGTTCTTTTTGAAAGTATACTTCTTTTTCTGTCTTTCCCATTGTTTTTTCAAGTTTTCCAGTGCATACACAAATAAAAATAATTTATAGGTCCAAATATACCATTCTCTAAATTGTCTTCAGGGACCCTCATCATCTTTGTTCATGTATGTTTTATTGCTGCTTCCTTTTTTTCAGCACACATAGAAGCCAAATTTATACTCTGACTACCTTTACGCTCAGTCCATAAATAAACTTTGTGGGTGTGATCAATACCAATTAAGTTTATTTACAAAGACAGATCTCGCACTGAAGCAATTCTAAAAAGATTTTGAGCAGGAACGGGACAAGTAATGGTCATGATGTGAAAATACTAATGTTACTTAGTGACAGGGATGGTAGAGTTTCCTGCCATTGAGGTACTTTTAATTTCAGTTGTCAGTCTCTTGTCAAGCAAAGCTAGGGAATGAAAGACCAGTAGCAAAGCAGCACTGTTGTGTGGTATTTCAAAAGAAATTTGTTTTCTAACACTATCATCAGAGGTTGCCTTCTGGTTTCATCTAAATTGTTAAGTACTGTTATTGTTCTGATAAACAATATGTTGGTAGGAGAATATGATTGACTGAGCTAATACAACTAGTGTGCATTGTGAAGTGTTTATTCTATAGTACTTTCAGATAATTTCTTTACCCTTTCCTCTTCCCCCCCTCCCCCCACCCAAAAAAACCCCTAAAGGTATACTCTAAAGAGTGACAACATTACAGATTTAAAATGGAAACTACATTTATTACCCTTAGAAATTAAAGATTAGGGAACAGCTTCTAATATGAAAAAAGCTGTTGGCTTTGGCAACTGGGTCTTACTTACCAGAGCGCGTTAAGTATAATGTGGGTCAGATCCAGACTGACTTAACGAACGGTTTAAGTTTCTTAGAAGAAGTTAGCACTTCTTGTGAGTCTCCTGGACATGCAATCTGAATTAGGTTGTTTGCTTATTCTAATAAAGATG